TTAATATTGCGTAAATATTTAGTTTCTTTTTACTAAATCTTAATTTTTATATTACTACCGATTTATTCACGACTCCAAGGAAGGATGCGATAATATCTGTTATCGTTAATGTAAGGAACAATTCATGAGCACTATTTGTTGGATGCTGTCGACTCGCAACATTAATGTTGGATTTTGTTTCGTGAGGCAAGGTGCCTCACCTCAGCTGAGGAAACTTGCCTCAGATGTTTTGAGGTCTGTGATCGGCTTGCCAAAGTAGGCTAAGCAATTACTACAAGACAGCGGCTTAAGCTGAGGTGAGCCACCTTGCCACAGGAAACTAAATCCACCATTACTAACACCAATTTTGAAAGAGACATTCAAACAAGGCATATATACAACTGAAAATGTGCTTTCAGCATTTAAAATGTGAGTGCATGACAATGTGAAGTATGGACATGCTTTTGTGATGAATTTAAACATAAAACAACTTAGGAACTTCACGCACTTTTGTAGATTTGATACTTGTGCAAAAATGTTACAATTTTAAAAATGAAGAAAAATGAAAAAAAAAAAGTGGTGTTAGAGAAGTTGGTGACTACTTACCAACAGATCCAACCTTCAATGTATGCTTGATAACAAGTAACACGAGTTTTTTGGATAGTAAGGAAAGCGCGAGAAATCCGAAGGAAAGACCTAAAGCTACTTGACACTCAATAGAAGATAGTTACCTTTAATAAAATTTGATCATCTAGACATGGTGTTGGTGTTGGAGATGACCACGATGGAACTCGAGGTCTTCTTGGAATTGTGACATAGCCAGACCGAGGCTGGACAAGAGGTTGGGACAGGGGTGGTGAAAACGGGGATTGACTTCTTGAATATGGCAAAGTGCCACAGAGGGCAGTGGATGCTGTCGAGGCAGGACTGTGGGGCCCTCCACTGACTGACGCCGATCTGAAAGCACATTTCCTAATTAGCACAAAAAATAAAAGCAAATTAATACAAAACAGTGCACACTTATTTTGTGAAACAATGAAAAGGAAATATTGTCGCATCGTGACTAACCTTGAAGGGAAAGCAAGAAGATCCGGAGGATAGTTGACCGAGGCGGGTTGCCGGTGGGATCTGTCCGTGACCACCGGGGCCTCCGCTTCCGACCCGTTGCGTTGGGGAGTCATGCCGCCGCCAACAGAGTCCAGAGACCGACCCTCGTCATCGACATGGCTCGCTGTGAAGCATGAACGCAGAGTGAAAAAGAAATCAACCAATGAATATTTTGACCACTGAAAAGCAACCCCAATTACAGTACAACTCCCGACTCGAGCCTCCACGGCCTCCACAGCGCCATTGTAAGGGGTGCGAGCGGGGGTGGGTGGGGGTGGGGTAGGGTATGGAGTGGAGAGGAACGCGCCAGAGACAAGGGCAAGTCTTCTGCTGACGAGGGAATGGAAGCATTCAAATCCGAAGGACCCACGCCGCGGCCCGCAAGAGCCAGGGCCGGGAAAGAGACAAAAGAGTGGACGGAGGGTAGGGTGGTGAGTGCGTGTGGGGAGGCACGAGTGGAGAGGGGAGGGCATTCAAAAATCAGACGGGAGCCTGGCGCAGGGCGCAGCGCAGCGCGGGAAACACAAGAGGGCGGCCGGGGTCGGCCGGTACAGCCCGCCCCGCTCAGGGTACAGTCAACGGTGTAATCACTGCCTGGGAAAAAAATCAGCCGGGGAAGACTGACGGCAAACAAAAATGATGAAAGTAAGAAGGAAGCCCCCGAAAAATAAATAAGAGGGGCGAGGAAGGCACTAAAAGAAAACGAAGACATTCGCGGAAAAGTGAAGCGGGAAACGCTGAAGGGAAATAGGCTCAGGAAAGAGGCCACTCCAACTTCTACAACTCGACAGGAGAGGCCAGTGGTGGCGGCGGCTGCAGGGGTTGGGAGAGGAGAGCGGCCAGAGAGTGGAAGCGTCGCGCGGCGGGATTTTTGACTCGGGCGCGGGGGAAGTTATGAGAAGAGGGGTCAGTTGGACCCTCTGTCTCCACCGCTCAGGGAAGCCTCGCGACCCCAGGGGTCCGGGCCCGC